CACGGGAGCGTCCCGGGACAGCCGCTGCTCGCTGCTCTGCGCTGCTCTCCTTTTTCCCTTTCGTCTCCATGCCAGACACTGGAAAGAATTAAATTCTTTAAAGGTTTGCATTTGAAACCGTGGCTGGAGTAAACTCTGAATCAGGTGTAAATAATTACCAACGTCAGGAAAGCAGCAACTGCTGCGTGTGGTTTATTCATCTCTCTTTCTTTTTTTTTTTTTTCTTTTGAATCCTTTGATCATTTCCATCCTCAACTGTTTGCCAAATTCACATCTCCTTAACGTGCTGAGAGCCCTCTGGTGCCCACAGCCCGGATCGGGTCGGTATCATTAGCGCTGAATGAAGGACGCTGCTCATTCGCAAAAGCCACCAGCCTCTCGGCTGACGGCAACGGGGAGCACGTGAGTTACGAAGCAGAATAAATGGTTCGATACAGTGGAGCCAAAATCGAACGGGAGAGCTCCGCGGGGCAGGACAGGCGGGGTTCGGCCGAACGCACGGAAATAGAAGCAACCATGGAACAAAAGCGGCGGAGAAAAGAGAAAAATGCGGCCACAGATCACACGCCGTACAAACAAAAGCCCGGGGCTGATCCCACCCTTCCATCCACGTTCGCTTCTGCCCGCGTCCACTGCTCTTTTTGCCTACGCTGAGTTTGAACCCATTTGTCTCCTCAGAAAGCCACGGTGGGAAAAGGCAGAGAAAGGACTTCTTTCTCGTGTGTGTCCTCTTTTAAAATCTCCCTGCACACCGAGACACCACCGGAGCATGTTCTGGTGCTGTAAACGTGTTTTTATCACGCCGTAAATTCCTGCCCCTCTGACAGAGCGGCCGGAAATGTAAATCACACCGTGGAGCTGAAGTTATGAAAAAGTTCGTTACGTTTCTGCGTCCTAAGGACGATCGCGGGTCGGTGGAAGGGGGGCTGGGGAAGGGGGGGGGTGAGATTGTTTCCTATTCTCCCTCTCTGCCTAACTGTGGCTCCGCGGTGCCGGGGACTTTGATGGGAAGGAGCGGACAATGTGCAGAGTCCCTGCTTGTGTCACCCAGGCCACCGCCACTTGGGAGGTCTTTCGGCCTAATGCATCCATAGCTAACTGCTCCCAACAGGAGGCTCTGCGGATCAGCCGGGGTCACAATTACACTTCTGCTAAAGGCAAGGGCTTAAAGAAAAAAAAAAAAAAAAAATGGAGGGAGGGAGAGAGAGAGAGAGGAGAGAGGGCTGGCCGAGCGGTGGAATTAAAACTTTTCACTTCATCTGAGGAAGGAAAGGCCGAGAGCGAGTGAGGATAGCAGGACTCGTTCACACGAGGCATACGCGGGGGGGAGGTGGGATCGCCCCGTCGTGGAGGCCGTGTGCCTGGGGACCGCCTGGCCGGAGGGCTGAGACGGCACTGAGCCTCCGGGGGGGGCTCCGCGGGAGCCGCGCTGCAGCCCGCACTCCTCGCTGCAGCGGTGGAGACCGGAGGAGAGGGAGGCGGGGGTTCCCGGCGGCCGTGCCAGGAACGGAGCCCCCCACCCGTCCTCCTCGCGCCCCGCCCGCTCTCCCTCCCGTCCTTCTGCTCTGCCTAGCACCCTCTCCCTTCCCTCCCACTCCCTCCCGCTACACGCAGACCCGGCAGCAGCCGCGGGTCCGTCATCCCGCTCCGGCCCGGCGCTGCACTTTCCCGGCCGAGAGACCGCGAAATGGTAGGGCCGAGCCGAGCCGGGGGCATCCCACCTCGCTCCGCAGCTCTCCCCCGTTCCCGGCCATGCTCAGGTCAGCGGCAGCCTCTCACCGTCCGACCCAGCCGGCTCACCCTCCCCGGGTAGCGAAACGCCGTCCGGAGGCCCCCCCCTGCCCCAGTGATGCCCCAGTGATACTCCTGTCCCTGCCGCCTCCCGCTTACCTGAAGAAGACGTCCCACTGCGGGCTCTGAGCGCACTGGAGGCGATCGGGGAGCTGAGAGCACCCCGGCGGAGGGAAGGGGGGGGGGGGGGGGGGCGGGGTGAATGATGGGGCACGGCACCCCCGCGCCCCAGGAAGAGCAGGCGGGAGAAAGAGAAGGTGGGAGACCGGGAAGGCTTTTTCCCCTTTTCTCTCTCCGCTGGAGCCGAAGTGACCCGCAGTATCTGGAGAAGGTTTTTGAAGACGTTCAAGGAGGGAGGGAGGGAGGGAGAGTTTTCTGCTGAGAAACTCAATCTGCCATACAGTAGCGGCCGCGTCTGGGATCTGTCACTGCTGACAGCACCACAGGGCACAGACATGATCTTCCGCACAACACTGCAACTCCCCAAAATACCCTCCTCGCTCCCAGGGTGTCTGCCGGGCTGCACCGCGCGCCTCCTCCAAAAGGGGGAAATCGGCCGAGCCCCGAGCAGCCGAACACCGCGAGCTGGGCGAGTGGCAGCACCCCCGCCCCCCCACCCGTTACTGGGAGCACACCGCCGGGGAGAGGGGCGATGGCACGCCCTGCCGGTGCAAAGGTCGCTCATGTTAGCTCGGGCGCCGTAAGATCGCCGAGAATGACTTTAATGAATAATTTCAGAGACGGTTACGTCTTCGGGTAGTTACTGCGCGGCTCTATGAGAACCGCACTGGGGCAGACTCAGGGCCGGGCCGCTGGCATCCCCTAACCCGGCCTGGTTCCACGGCGCTGCTCCCCGGCCCGGCTGCGAGGACCCCCTGCGAGCAGCGCTCCCACAAAGCCGCGGGGCCGTGGGCTCCGGGCTGGGCTGGGGGTGGAGGGCGGACCTATATTATGATTATTTTTAATCTCTTCCGCCTCCTGTACTTTCTGGCAGAACATTTCATTGTCTTTTAGGCTCGTTTTAGAAAGCTGCCACGGGTTTGCACGCTAGTTAAGCTTTTTCAAAGCTCACCATACGCAGCTGTTTTAGCCTATGGCTACATATGGCATGCGAGTAGGGACCCCTATAGGAGAGTCGTCCTCCCGTTACCCCCACATGTTCTCTCAATGTACGCAGCCAGGAAACCACCTCTATGCTATGCATTAAAACATACATCTATATTTTTCTTTCCCGAATCCTTCGGGCAACTCAGGGTCCGCGTATCCTCTGCACGGCACCCATCAGTGGGAGCAGCACGGCACGGATGGAGGCTCCGCTCCCATTGTTCTGCACACACGGCCGCTCCCGGCCTCGCTGTGCCACACTGGGATCTACTGGGGCTTTCTGGCTCGGCTGCGTTCCATGGAGTTATATTTTCCTTTCCTTTTACTGTTTTGGTTTTGCACCGCTACCCCTTGCCCGAATCCGGGTGCCGGTGGGCGCGATGGGAAGCGGAGCGCAGCATTACCGAATCACAAAGGAAATGTTCCTTTTCCTTTCGAGATTACACACAGACACAGCGGAGCGTTGCCGAATCTCAGAGGGCTTTGTGTTATTTCATTTTATTTTGCTAAAACAAATAAATGGAAGCCCGTGTTTTAATTCTTTTTTTCTTTATTTCTTTCTTTCTTTTTTTTTTTTTTTTTTTTTTTTTTTTTTTTTTTTTTTTTTTTTTTTTTTTTTTTTTTTTTTTTTTAAGGATCACGCGAGCGGATTTTAAATTTTTATTCTTTTTTTCTTCTGGAAAGGGAATTTTTTACCCGGAGAATGTGACCCTGCAGCCAGAGGGGCTGCCGTTATCTCTGTTTCTGCAGACGGCTCCAAACCCTCTCCCACCTCCCCGCCCTGGCAGCAGTGGTGGCTGCGGCGCACAGCGGGCGAGGGCTCGGGTCGCCTTACGGAGGTATTGCTGGTATCTTCTCGGGGGGCGGCGAGCGGAGAGATTGACACGAAATGTACAGAACAATAAAGTTAAAAGTTTGGGAAAGTAAGCTTGGCACTGTGGGTCCCGGTTAGTCATAGAATCATAGAATCATTAAGGTTGGAAGAGACCTTTAAGATCATCTTGTCCAACCCATCCCCACCAAGACCACTAAACCATTTTCCTCGGTGTCACATCTCCATGTTTCTCGAACACCTCCAGGTGACTCCAGCACTCCCTGGGCAGCCTGTGCCACTGCATCACCGCTCTTTCTGAGAAGAATTTTTTCCCAATATCCGACCTGCACCTCCCCTGACACACTTGAGGCCGTTCCCTCTAGTCCTAAAGATAAAGCCAGGGCTAACGCCTGCGCCTCGAGCCGGCCCGGCTCCCAACAAGCCAGGACTCGGCGGGATGTATCAGCAGGTGCAAGGCCATCTCCAGGCAACAGCAGCACTTTTGGATGGGAGCCGCCCGCACGTAAGCGCTGCACTCCGGGGTCAGCTGCCGGGACATAAGGTGGAAATCTACCTGGCCCGATGTTTGCTTTGGAAGCGAGCATCCGCGCCGGGAGAAGAAGATAAAGCCAGCACCGGGCCGGGGGCTGAGAGGAGCGGGGGGAGCGGCCGGCTGCAACAGCGGCTTTTGTTCTTGCGTCTCCCGGGGCCAAAGGAGCACACGGCGGCGGCGAAGAAGCCCCGGGCTCGGAGCACGGCACCGCACCGCTGCCGGGCCGGGCCCGGAGAGCACCGACGGGATGTCGCCCAGCGCGGGGATGGCTGCGGGCCGCGTGACGTCAGCGCGGCTTCTGCTCCGCGCCGCGAGATAGAGGCAGCAGGGCCGGGGGAGGGAGACCCTAATCGTTCCCAGATGGCTCTAATAGCAGATATAAAAACTTACACAGAGTCCGAGAATAAATTTGTAATCAATGCTCTACCATCGGATCATCAAAGCGGCGATTTCGGGAAGGGAAAATGAGGGTGGGGGGCTCTGGGAAGAGTCAGACACACACGGCGGCGGGGTGGGATGGGGTACGAGGCAAAGGGGAGCCCCAGCCCGGCCCCGCACCCTTCGGCTACAGTTAATGGGAACGCATAGTTCAGGAGCCCCGCGTTAATCTCCGTTGTCTGAAGCAACAAAGCCCAATCAGAAATGGAAAAGATTGGAATTCGCTGGTGAAGGCGCGTACTCCGGAGCCCACGAAATACAACAGAGGAAAAAAAAAAAAAAAAAAAAAAAAAGCACTCCAAATAAAATAAAATTAAAAAATGCAAAGCGTCGATAAGCCCCTCGTTACAGCACAGGGGATTATGCCTGCAGGAGCGCGGAATGCGTTTCCTTCCCATCGCTGCTTGGAGGTTCCTCCTGGGCACGTTTGCGACCGCCGGGCGGTACGTGTGAAGGAGGAGGATTAAGGGTGGGTTTCCGAGCGCGGGAGGAGGATATTTTGCTTCGAGGTTTTATTATTAACCTTCTCCCCCTCCTCCCCGCCCACCTTTGGGAATCGCCTTGGCTCAGTGGCATCCCCCGGGCGTTGTTTATGTCCGTACAGCGCCCGCTAACGTCCCGGCGCTCGTTCCGGGGGTGTCTGCGGCTTGGGCAGAAGGAAGCCCATCACAATGCTCTGACAACGAAAGCAAATTAGTAGTAATCGTTGCAATCATCCTGACGTACAGAAGAGCTCCTGAAAATGAGCGGGCGGGGAAAAAAATAAAAATTAACCAACAAATTTTAGATCACGGTTGTTGAGCTGATCTGCCCCGTTGGCAGAAACACGTTCCACAGCCAGTGGGCACACGGAGCAGCCCCGGGAGACAGCAACCGGGACTCGGCCTGCATCTCCACCACCGGAGCAATAGACTTTGGGCGCCGAGGAGAGGCCCGCCGGGAGTACTGCTGTTTCTTTTCGACTTAAGGGGTGAGGGGGGGGAGAATAAGAAGTCATTTTCTCTAAAGGTGAGCGTTGAGCTGCCAGCAAAGCCGGGCCAAGAGCAGGGCTGAACCCATCCGGCTACACCGCATCACGCAGGGAAATGCTGCGGAGCGGCCGCACTGCCCACAGTCGGGTCCCACTGCAGCTACGTGCCCCGCACCTCCCACACAGTTGCCCCGAGGCCGCGGATCCCGCTCTTATCAGTCCCTCCGCCTCGCAGAGCGGGGCGCTGACATCCCGGCTACCATCAATTCACCTTCTGCCGCCCCGCTCCCCCATTTAGCTTTTTGCCGGCTCCGGGCTGTCTAGGGCTCTCGTGATTTAGCTCCGGGAATGACTGCTCCTGAGAAAACGGCAACATCCTCACTACCGAGCAATTAAAAGAGATCCTTCTTAGCGAGTCCGGGGGGACTCCCAGGGCTGAAAAACGAACGTTTCGAAAAGGAGAGTATTACGGATCGGAAAACCCCGGGGAGGACAGCTCTCGGCCGCAGCCCCATGCCCTGGCGAGTGGCGAAGACTGGGAAAAGCAGAAAGGAGATTGGGGCTGGGGGCTGCAGAGCCCTCTGCTTCGTCAGCCCGGCCACTAGCAGGCAGGGCAAAGCAAACAAGGGAGAGATTCCTCACCGCAAGTGCTACAAACAAAGGCAAGTGGCTATAAACACGGCCCCACGCTGGAGCGCAAGGCCGGGCCGCCTGACCCGCCGGGAAGAGGGCACGGCCCTTTGGTCCCGTTGTCGTAACCCTGCAACCTTCCCAGCGCCGGCGCGGGACGCCCTGATCTTGGCTCGGGCAATCGCACCTCTACCTCCGCTCACGGTCGGGGGGCGGCGGGAGCCACTTCCTCGGGCGCGGGGCGGGCGGGCACACGGCCACGGACCTGCAGAGAGAGCCAGCACGGGTTTAGAGGGCGCGGCGATACCGAGCCGAGGTTTATCACGGAAGAGGTGGAAGGGGCTGGAAAAAAAAAACAAAACAAAACAAAACTATGTAATTCGTGAAAGCTTTGGGAACCACTAAGTTAAATAATACTAAGCTCACCGCAGTAAACTGTAAACCTGCCGTCCTGCTCCCCATCCGCACAGACCTCCGGCCCCGTTCCCTCTTCCCTGCTCGGTACGGAACTACCTGGGCCAGCAGAGCCCAAAGCAGAGCCAAAAACCCCCGCCCCGCAGCCCTCGCCCGGAGAACACTGCAGGCACAAGGCGGGGGGAGCCGTCCCTCATCCCCTCCTCTCACTCGGGCACTGGGTTAAAAACGAACCTCGGAGCCATCTTTATAATTTAGTTTACTTCCGAATATTTTAAATATTATGAAAAAAAGCCATAAACAACGCTGTTATTCAAAACATTTTGAGGTATAAAACATAAAAAGATTTGGGTTTCTTTCCCCCCCCTTCTTTTTTTTTTTTTTTGTAAAAAAACACACACAGTGGTTTATTGAGTACTTACAACGCTTACACCTTCAATATTAATTAGATTCCACTTTTTCCCTTATGGACGGAAGTGCACATAACCAATAACTGCTGAAAACATCTCAGAATACCGAACAACCACAACAAAATCACGACACGAAATACGGAGCCGACCGAACGCGGGTGCAACTGCTTCTGTTGAAATAGAACTTTATAATCCCAGGAATATTTATATCCAAACGGCCAAGTATTAAAGATACACTTCACATACACACTAATGCCAGGGAGGGATTTTTTTTTTTTTTTTTCTTTTTCCTTTTTCCTTCTCTACGGTTCTGCTTTCCCCGTGGGTTTTATACAGAGCAAATAACATTCACGGAACTATTAGAGACGTTATTATCCCTTACCAAGACGGAGTTTCCTCTTCATAGCCATCTATGGAATGCTTTTTCCCTCTCCTTCAAATATCCACATTTTAGGGGGGTGGGGGAGAAATTGCACATAAATAAGCGGGATGGTTCCGAACGCGAGAGTCCTCGGGGAGCGCCGAGCGGGGCCCCCGCCGCGCTCACTGCTTGAGCTCCAGCGCCCAGACGTGCTGCGGCCAGCCTGTCCGCCCTTTGGTTTTCTTATCGCTGCTGCTAACTGTGCTTTTCAAGATTTCATTCTGAGGAGACAGGATGCGAAGGGAAAGAGAGAGAGAAACAAAGCGGAGAGAGGAGAAACGAGGTTAGGCAGATTCCTGACTTCCTGGCTCGCCCCGACCGCGGCCCTAGAGGAAAGCCGCGAGCAAACGCCGCTCGGCCCGGAGCCTCCGCGTCGCGGGGACGGAGCACTGCTCGTGGGGCGGCCTCTCTGCGGGATGAGAGCTCGGGGCGCGCCGCTCGGGGGCCCTCGGGGCTCTGGGACCGCGCCGCACGGGCGGAGCCGCGGGCCTGCGACGCAACGGCAGCTGCCGAAACGCGGCCCGAGCGCTCCGTGAGGCCCTGCGCGAAGCGGGGCTGGGCGAAGCGGGGCCTCCCGCTGAAGGTCGCGGGGCAGCTCCGGCGCGAAGGCGCGGCCGGGCCGAACGGCTCCGCGGTCACCGCGTCCCCGTCCCCTCGGCGAACCCCGGCTCCCGCCGCTGCCTACAACGAACCCCTCCCGCCCCGTCCCGCGGCACTGACCAGCTCCTTCTTCCTCTTCTCCTCCTTCACGTCCGTCTTCTTGATCTCTGCCTTGAAAGCCTCCGCCTCCCCGTTCTGGTCGTCCTTGGCCAGCAGGTCCATGAGGTAGGCGATGTAGCTGGTGGCCAGGCGGAGAGTTTTGATCTTGGAGAGCTTGGTGTCGGCGGGCACGTTGGGGATGCACTCGCGCAGCTCCGCGAAGGCGCTGTTGATGCTCTGAGTCCTGCGCCGCTCCTTGCGGTTCGCCGTGCCCCTGCGCTTCACCGGCCGGGGCCCCCCGAGCCCGGGCGGGCCGCTCCCGGGCGGCACCCCCCCGTAATGGGAGTGGTCCATGCCCGGCGCCCCGTTGGCGTACTCGGGGCTGTAGGACAGAGCCATGCTGTAGTCGGGGGGGGACATCTCCGGGTGGCTGCTGATAAGCCAGCCGTGGAAGTAGGGGTTCTCCTCGTGGCCGCAGCGGGTGGCGGCGGCGGCGGCGGCAGCGGCGGCGGCGAAGGGGTAACCCTCATGGTGCACCACCGGGTGGTGGGGGAAACCTCCCACCAGACTCATCGCCGCTGCCTCGCGCGCCCCGGCCCGCCCCCGGCCCCGAACGAAGCTCTCCCGCCGCCCGCCCCAGCCCGCCGCGCCGGCGGCACCGCTCGGCCCTCAGTGCCGCTCCATGGGGCGCTGCTGCGGAGTCCCCACGGGTGCCCGAGCGATCCCCCCTCCCCAGGCGCCGCCGCCGCCGCTCATGCGTTGTGCCTCCACCTCCTTCTCCTCCTCCTCGCCCGGGGCTGGGTCTTCGAGGAAGCGCGCACACACGCGCGAGAGAGAGGAAAAAGAAAAAAAAAAAAAAAGAATAAAAAAAAAAAAAGAAAAAAAAGCGCTGCGGAGAGCAGTCGACCAAACAAATGGGCTCGGCTTCCCAGCCCGGGCTCTTCCTCGTCTCTTGCTTCCCTGTGCTCTCGCTCTCAAGTCCGCGGCGGCCCGGCCGGGTGGTACTTACACGCGGCCCCCTTCCATACGCCCCGGCCCGCGGCCGCTCGCCGCTGCCCTCTCCCCTGCGCTCGGGGGCCGCGGTCGACGCCTCTCCGCGCCGCGCAGCTCAACGCTCAGCGCTCCGCTGGGACATCGGGGGGGCGGTGGGGCTCGGCGCGGCCCGGGGCACTGGCAGGGCTCCCCGGGCCGACCTCCATGGACAGCTACATGTTTAGGGCCGCTCGGGTTAATATATGGCGTCAGAGGCGGCGACCGCCAATGGCTGGCGGCGGGGGCGGAGTCCGCGGGGCTCCGCAATAAAACTTTTTGATGTCGGCCCTGCTAATTGCCCCGCTCCTCGGCCGGGATTGGCTGCTCCTCCGCATCCAGAGCGTAATTAAAACGAGGGGGGGTGTGGGGGGAATTATCATGGAGGCAGAGGTTAATGCAAGTGTTTAGCAGATGCCTTACTGTAAAATCTTCGTTTAAAAAAAAAAATAGCAACAAAATCATTAAAACTTAAATATCGGACAGTCCCGAGCCAGGTACAGTATGGATGCGGGAGGTTTCTTTGCAAAAATCGTTGCGATCGTGGCGTTCACGGAGCGCTTCGTGCCGCTCCATAGAGGATCACGTAGAAGCGGCTTCCGAGGGCACTGCGGACGGCCCGACCGCGATGGGCAACACCGCGCCCGTGCGCTTAGCGCCGCGTAACGCGCACAAAGGGAATGAGGGAGGACCGCACCGCGTCGCGAACCGGGAGAACGGAGCGCGGGTCTCGGGCTCAGTCGGGATGGGGCTTTCAGCCAGAGCGGCTCCGAGGCACCGTCACTGAACCAGGCTCCGAGCGGTGTCCCCCGGCCCGCGACTGCGCCGGCACCTCGAGCAGCGGTCCTGGCGCGATGCGGTTCCAGACGTCAGCTCCGTATTTGTTTAACTGGGCTCGGCGGTAAGTCACAGAATCTTCCTTACAGCGTATTCAGAGCCTGCCTCCTCTCCTTTAGCGACAAATACAGACATTTTTCTCCGCATTCCCGCTCTGCGGCAAAAAAGAACAGAGCCCGTGGGAAGCACAGTTCCAGGTGTTTGACTTTGAGGGAAGGAAAGCGGACCCCAGGCTGCGAACCGCGGAGAGCTGAGAGATGAGGCCGACTGCTGTTATCCTCAGACGGAGCCGAGCATCGCTCAACTGTGGGGAAATACCAAATCCCCACCCTCCTGCGCACTGCCCGACGGCTGAGCTCATTCGGCGTATATTACAATGCGACCCCGCACTGTAGGCAGTGTGGAAAAGTGTGTCAACAGGAGCCGAGAGGTCGTAAATTAAAGAAAGAGAAAGATAGAGACGGAAGAGTTGCAGAGGCGGCGGCGGAGCGGCGGGTCCTTCTTCTGCGGGAACTCGGAGCTCTCGGGGCGGAGGCTGCGGGGATGCCTGAGGAAAGCACTGGGGAAGAGCAGGGGGGAGCGGGCCCGGCGCCGGAGGGAAGGAGCAGCGCTGAGCCCGGGGTTCAACTCGGCCGCGCAGGGGGGCTGCGGGGCTGCAGGAGTGGTGGGCTCGGCGGGCACAGCTGGGGAGCAGAGCGGGTGATGCCAGGCTCCAGAGGGAAGGGGAGAGTGGTGTGCAGTCTCTGGGGACAGTGCAACGGGACAGTGCGACGGGGCACTGCGTGTGTGTGAGTATATATCCGTGTGTGCGTCTGATGTACGCCACGAAAAGGCAAAGCCAGTCCAGACGTAGAACGTATGTAAATACACGTTCGGTCATACGAACGCATGCTTGCACTAAAACGACTGATAAATCTCTATGTATGCGCACATATGTTGTACTGTCCTAAGGAAATAACGTATCTCCGGTGCAAATTTTTAGACTGCAGTGAGGCCGCGGGCACCCCGTGCCCGTAGAGCCCCGCGGAGGCCACCGGCACAGCGCCTGCAGCGACGGCTGGCACATGGCGCTCCTCCGGCTGCGTTCGGCCGCGGTGCTTTCCCTTTCCTCGGTGCAGAGGCTGGGAGAATGCATGGGCTGAGGATGGAGACATGCTCCTTCGCACTCTTCTCATTCGTGTAGGAGCTTTCTGACACACCACGGGCTGGACCGAAACTGCGGCAGCGTCCGTGGCACTGCGGTGAATTCGATAACATCCCCTGCGATGAAGGGAACGGAGATCGTGAGACAGAGAAAAAGGATCCGGGATACATGGCTCAGAACACCGGTCTCAAAGCTCGAATCGTTATCGCTTAATTAGCTTTGGAGAGTGGGGCTCTCTCGCTAAAGCACCCAGCAGGACCATACATATAATTTTCCTCCTATCCCCCAGAGATTGCTTATGCATTTTATAAAGTGAGTTTTAGTGCGAATGCCTCCTCTGTGTCCTCCCCCAACTCCTCGCCGCTCGGGCTGTGCTTTGCTCTTCGGCTGAAGCCGCCACAGCTCTACATAACGTTCACAGGACAAGGCTCAGGGGCAGCTGACAAGTTTTTCCCATCTCCCATTTATTGATTTGATTTTTTCTTCCCCCCACTTACAAATCAGTCTCTTAGAAAAGGAAAAAAAAAGTTTTTTTAAAAAAAAGTTAAAAAAAAAGAAAAAAGAAAAGAAAAGGCTCTCCACATATGCCATTTTTTTCCCCGCCAGGGGAAAAAAAAAGGTTGCACGTCAGGCGGAGATCTCTGCTGCCAGACAACACTTTCTGAGCTCGCCACAATTAAGAACTTTTGGTGGCGACCGCGCCGATGCTGCTTTTCCCTCCTCTTCACCTCGGGCTTTTTCTGTCTTTACGCACTTATCTGGGGGTGACTCTCCGGGGACAGCAGAACAATCCCCCGTTTCGGGGGATGCGGAGATGCCTGGGGCCCCGCAGCGTTACTGGGTGCAGTGTCCCGTCCCGCTCCAGGCGGCAGCGAATGGCCCCTCCTTCATTCACTTTGCAGCTTCACTAACCCAAGGAACCCCCCAGCACCCCAAGGGCACCCTGGCTCTGCCGTCTCCACCCCCGGCTCTCTTTTCCTCTGGTTTTCTGCCTACCACATCTCTCGGCCGCCTGCTGCACGGCTCGAAGTAGGTTTTGGATTTATAGCATGCGTGATGTCACTGACCGGCAGTGAGGGAATGGGAGAAGGGTGTAATCCTTGGATGGGTTTGGGGACACTGCGGTGCCCCGCGCCCCAGCGGCACTTCCTTCCTCCGAGACTCCACTCAGGAGTTCGTGAAAGACCACAAAGCCTCAGGAAAGTGGACTTCTATAAAGAGGCACCGGAGAAATATCATTTGAAGGTCAACCTGTCAGCGTGGGTTAATGAAAAGGACTTGTGCCTAATGGGCCTACTTATGCCCGCAGTTACACTCAGGCAACCTCGATTTCAGCGTCTGGGGCAGAGGGCAGAATTGGGCCCACCAGGCCCGAACTAATTGTTGCCCTTGAAAGTGGAAGAACCCTGCTTTACGTTACTGCTATGGGAAACAAACGTCCACATATTTCAGACATGATGACCTACTCAGTGTATTAAAAAAAAAAAAAAAAAAAAAGAAAAGAAAAAGAAAAAAAGAGAAAAGAAAAGGAAAGGACATACACAAAACAAAAAGCAGGAACGAGGACAGTGAGCACTGTGCAGGTTGCAATGATTGGCGGTAAGCAGGGGACCGTGTGCATTTTCCTACTGCATGTGTGAGCAATTATTCGAGGGTTGCTGATATTTGTGACTGAGGATCCAGAGTTGCATTCAGAAAGAAATCACAGAAAGAAAAGAAAAATGCAATGAACTCAAACCAAGAGCCCTTCTTTGTCAGAAGGACGATAATAAAGGCTGTATGAAATGCCGCTGTGAGCGCACACTGTGTTTCTCTGTTCCTTGGTTGCCAGTCTCCTGAACACCCCCGTGTATTATCACGCACACGGATGCCTACAGACACGCACACATTTTTCCATGTAATGTTGTTTGCATTCCTGGGAAAGAGCATCCTGAAGCCGCTCCTGAGCCCGGCGCTGGTGAACTCGCTCGCGGGTGCCAATTTTTTATTACTGATTTCTCCTTCAGCATCCGAAGTTCACACACTGGAGGGGTTGGGTTGGCATCTTTTGTGGTTTAACAAAGCTCAACGCTCCTATTGTTATAGAGGAAAGACCCCACCGGACAAGGCAGGGCTTTAAGTAGCGTTCAACACATCAAAGGCAACCAAGTCTGGTTTAAAATAAGTCCCTCCGGAGGGTGGGAAATCCCCTCAGCGTCCCCCTCCCCGCAGCCCGAGCTGTGTGCCCGGTGCCCCGTTATCGTGTGCCTTCATGGCAACGGCGGGCAGCGTTCGGGCTGCGGGAGGTGCGGCTGCAGCGTCGGCCCCGCACTTGTCGGGGGCAGCGGAGCGCGGGGCCTCGGCGCGTATCTCGGTGTAATTGATCTGCCCGAGTGAGGTCTTTTTGGATAATTTGGATACACCGAGTCTCCAGTTAATGACATATAATCAGCCTTTAGGTCACTTGGTCATTCTCTTATTACAAACTCCTCCTGCTCTCTCTGATCTCCTTTCAAACTAAATTTCATACAAACAAATAAAGCAAGACAGGAACAAGTCCTTAAAACGCAAGAGAGAAATAACGGAGAATTGCTCGTGGGGAATTATAAACATTTTAAAAAGAAAAATCGAAAAGATAGGAAGGAACATCTTATCGAGAAAGAGAGCATTGTGTACAAAGCATGGGGGAAATCGGTCTGGCTTCTGTTAAAAATGACATAAAATTAAAATAAAAATAATTACAAACAGAAATGGCATATTATAAACAGAGGGCAGGAGGCTTTACTGGAAACGCGCGACCGCGCTGTAACGCGCTCTGACGACACTACGGCCGATCCGCGGGTGTGTAAAACGCCCCTTTGCTTCGCGTTAGCCGGCAAAAAAAAAAAAAAAAAAGGGAAAAATAAAAAAAAAAAAGCCTTTTCTCTTCGGGAAAGTAACGGAAAGAGCCGCGTGTCATTTACCTCCCGAGACCTGCAGGGAAACGGAGCCGCGGCCAAAGCCTTGGGTGTAAATGCGACAACAAAAATAAATATTTGACATCACCGCGCAGAACATATTTTACGAAGTCAACACTTTGTTTTTCTGCCTTTTTTTTTTTTTTTTTTTTTTTCCCCTTTCGGAAAAGACAATGCCCCCTTTTTATTAGGTGCTCCTTAGGAGGTTATTTTGATCTCGCTCCAGGTCCGTCTCTCTGCGGGGAACACCGCGCTGCGGTGCGCATAGAGCGCG